CAAGGACAGTCCCATTCTACAACAGTGGCATCATGTAATATTTGTCCTTTTGTGACTGGGATATTTCACTCAGCATAATGTTCTCCAGAGTCAACTGTCTTTTAAAAAGTGGAAATAAGGTTGACGGAAAATAAACAATGCGTTTCATTAAAAAAAAAAAGAAAGAAGAAGAAGGTGAAACTCCCCACCTTTGGGTTAACAGGGAGATCTGATGTCCTACTGGTAAGAAGCTGCGCTGCAATCCCAAAGGGAAGCAGTTCAAATCCACCAGCTGCTTCAAGATGGGCAATCTTCTCCTTTGTGATTTACTGTCTCTTATAACTTCCTGTAGAATCAGCTATGAATCAGTTACAACTTAACGACACACAACAACAATCTTTGGGTTGGAGTTTAATGAATAAGGATGACAGAAGAATAATGGATGCATTTGAGTTAGGGTGTTGGAGAGGAGCACTGAATATCCCATGGACTGTCAAAAAAAACAAACATACATCTTGGGAAAAGTGCAACTAGAATGTTCCTTGGAGGCAAAGATGATGAAGCTTCATCTAATACATTTTTGGAGTGTTCTTAGAAGAGGCTATTCCTTGGAAAAGGAATCATGGTTAAAAAGATGGGGTGTCAGCAAAGGAGAGGAAGACCTTCAATGAGATGCACTGATACAGTGTCCACAGCAGTGGGCTTAAGAATATTGAGAATGACAAGGATGGCAAAGGACAAGACAGGGTCAGATCTATTGTTCCTAGGATCGCTATGCATCGTACTCAACAGCATTTACCAACAACAAGCTTTCTGTTAGGGACTCTCTAGGGTCCCTCAAGGATTCTTCGGTGGAGATTTAATGACTATAAATGTCAAGTACTATCCTTGCCCCGTTCTTCTGTGTACTGACAGAAGTCACTTGTCATCTCTCCAGACAGATGGGCTCCCCCACCCCACACCTAGGCATCTGGTTGCCCCATGTCTTCCTGTCCCAGTCCCCAGTCACCCTGTTCCCTGAAATGCCCAACACAGTTCTCAAGGGCTAGCAGCTCCAAGAAGGGTGGAGGAAACCCTCAAGTCTGAGACACTCTCTCCTTTTTCCCCCTCTCCAAGCCCAAGCCCCTCACCTGAAACCACAACTCCCCCTTGGAGCCCCTTTCCCCTCCCAGGGACTGCCCTCGTCTCCTCGGACCCTAAGATGCATGGCCAACATGCCAGCTTTGTCACCCAAAGGCTGTGGAAGTGGTTAGTGCAGGAAGCTTGCAAAAGAACAACTTCTGCTTTCCCAGGGACCTGGGTAAGCTCGTGTCCCAGTCTCCGCTAAGGTCTGGGAGGGCCTGTTCCACCTTCTTGGAGGCCCATACAAGCCCAGGAGGCCCATACGAGCCCAGGAGGCCCATACGAGCCCAGGACCAACACTACCAGGCTCCAGAGCCACCTGTAATGTTCCCAGCCCTCACGTGTGAGCCTCTGGACAGGACTGGGCGCTGAACCCTCTGCTGGGCGCTCAGAAGACAAAGGACGGGATGCTAAGAGGGATGCTTGATCCTCACTGGGAGCAGTAACTGGCAGGAAGCGCCCTCAGAACAGCACCTCCTATGATGTGCACACCTTCCTGCGCACTAACAGCCCATGTCCACTAAACCCTCCTTCAAGTCACCTGTCCTTCTTAAAAGCCTGCTCTGGGAGTCAACTCCATCTCCTTAGTCAAGGAGAAAAGCCCCCACAATGGACACCCCTACCCTTCCCCTCCTTCCCCCATGAGGAGCCTCCAATACCCCTGGCTCCTGCCTGTGCCTGGTCCTTCCTGCCACAGGGCCCAGCCTCCTGCTCCCCTGCCCCAGCTCTCCCTTCCCTTCCCCTCTTCTCAAGGGCCTGGGCGTCACTCTGACTTGTCTAGAGCCCCAGCTCGGCCACTTACAAGCTGTGTGGCCTTCAACCCACCCCCTCACTTGCGTGAACTTGCATCTTCTTCTGGTACAAGTCAGAGTCTCCAGCATGGAGTGTGGGACGCCAGGTGTCTGACAGAAGCGTGTGTGAGGGACAGACAGACAGACACAGCTACTGAGGCCAGCGGCCTCCCCGACAGAGGCAGTGTTGTGTAGGTGCAGTCTGTTCTTGCTGGGACTGCTGACCCATTTCCTAATATGTAAGCTGAGGCAGCCAGCTCGCCTAGGACAAAGGAGACAGAAATTACCCAGGCCTGGGCCCTGCCCTCACAGAAGGAGGACACAGTCTTGGGGGGAGACATTAAGCAAGTTGGGGCTCCATGGAATGAGGTTCTGGGGAAGATGAAGGTTCAGGCGTGCATATAGGTGTGTGGGTCAGTGAAGGTGGTGGTGGGAGAGCTGGGGAGAGAGGCAGGGGCAGGAAGGTGACCCTGGATCTGCCTGGAGAACAGAGATGTAGTTTGCCAGATGCAGAGGGAAAGAGAATGTTCTAGAGAACAGGAGTTAGTATTAGAGACAGCCTGGCAGGCCTACAGAGTGTGGAGTTTGCCCCCATGGCAGCAGACAGCCCAGAAGAGGTTTACCTGTGAGGGTCTGAGGTACCAGGCAGGTACGGGTACACTTGGAGCCATTCAGGAAGGAGAAGAAGGACCTTGGACTGTGGGGAAGAGGCAGATGAGAACCTGCGGAGCCTTTGGTGGTCTGAGTGGAGCCCCCAGGGATGCCGGGGTGAACCAAGGCTTTGTGGAGCTGGTCTGAGCATCAGGTAATCAAGGACTCCAGGACTTACAACCCCGTGGGGTGTGTCTGTGAACATGGGTAACACATGGGAACGGGCAGCAGGGACGTGAGTGTGAATGCCCACGTGTATAGCCCTCAAGCGTGTCTGCATCAGTTGGATAAGTGTGGGGGATGCCTGTACCAGAAGCTGCACCCAGCAACTTATAGGGGTGGTCAGGTCGTCTCTCGGCACCTCTTAAGCTGGAATAACCCCCGGAAGCCCACTCCTCCAGTGGGCTGACCCGAGGTTTGGAGCCAGACCTCCTTCCTGGGTTCTGAGTTCTTGGGTCAGAGACTGTGAGCTTCCCCTGGGGAGGGGCAAGGTTCCCAGTGATCACAGCACAGCTTTCCTCTCACAGTTTTATTGATCCCCTGCACAGCCCCTCCCAGATGGAGGCTCTGAGATCTCAGATCTTCCGACCTCCAAAGGCGGGGCGGTTCATGTGCTCGGAGGAGGCCAGGAAAGCCTTGAGCTTGGGCCGTGCTGTGAGCCTCGCCACGTAGGCTGAGAGCAGGGGAAGGGTGTCCAGGCAGCCAGGGATCAGCACCTGGTGGGCCAGGAGGAAGTCCAGCAGGTTGTAATCGGCGAAGGAGATCTGAGGACAGAGGTGTGAGGGGATGTTAACTGGTGAGGAAGAGCAGGGGCTGCTCCACTGAGCAAGGCAAGCATCTGCTGTGGAATCAGTTTATCCTTCTGAGAAATGGGTCCACTCGTGCATCTGTATGGGATCAAAGAGGATCGATCCCTGTTTGTGCAGTGCTTAAGCAGCTCACTGAAAGGTTGCAGGTTCAGAACCCACCAGCAGCTCTGCAGAAGCAACATGACAGTCAGCTTCTGTAAAGATCACAGCGTCTATTCACACCCATGTTTATCATGACTTTGTTCACAATAGCAAGGAGTTGGAAACAACCCAAGTGCCCATCAACAAACGAATGCATAGAGAAGCTGTGGTATATTCACACAATGGAATACTATGCTGCATTGAAAAACAAGGAGCTCATGAAATATTATTCAAAATGGGTGACCCTGGAGGACATTATGCTGAGTTAAATATCTCAGTCACAAAAAGACAAATACAGCATAGTGCCACTGGGGTAGAATGGGACTGACATCAGGGTTGGGGTAAGACTGAGAAAAACTGGATAAATTATGTATACTGCATTGAAACAGATGAGTGAGAAAACAGTTTAAAAGTGATGTATGTTAGGGTATTATCAAGGTTATCACAAGAGTCCAGAATGAAGGTTGCCTAGTGGAGTGTGTTCGGGGCTGGGGTGGGGGGATGGGGATGGGGATTGTATACCAATGAAGGAATTTTTCTTCAAAGAGAGGAATGAACTGGGGGAGGGGCATAGGCAGGGAGAACAGTGCAACAATGAATGAATGGAAATAAAAAAATCTCTGTAAATGTTCATTAAAAGTAATTAAAAAATATTAATACTGCCTGCAATAATGAATGAATGGAAACCCTAAGTCTCTGTAAACGTTCATTAAAATTAATTTAAAAGAAAAAAAAAGATCACAGCATCTGGAGGCCTGTGGAAAGCTCATCCTTGTCCTACGGGGCCACGTGCTTGGATGCTCTGGGTGGGAATCTACTTGAGGGCAGTTGGGTTTTATATAAGATTGAACTGACAACAGCAACTCAAAAAACTCAACAGGAACCTTAGAGGGCAGTGGGCAGGCTGGTGCCAGGTCACAAGGGAGAGGCAACTCAGAAAAGGAGCTTGAGGATGCAACCAGGACTGGAAGAACATGACCAGTGCCACTGACCTGGGCACGCCGACACTTGAAATGGGGCTGTTTTGCTGTGTACGTTCTCAGAATAAATAAGTACTTTTTAAATAAAAAACTAAAGTAAGTAAGAAGGGGCCTGGCAAGGTGCGGGCAGGCTGGCCGAGCTCACCTGGTCACCCACGATGAAGGCCTGGCCACCCTGGTTCTGGGCTAGCAGGACCTCAAAGGGCTTCAAGTGGCCGGGCAGCTCCTGTGCGTACTGGACCTTGCCCTCCTCCTGCGGACAGTGACACCAGCTGGGTCCAGCCGTCTGGGTGGGCTGCCCAGCCACCGCCCAGCACACCCCACTATCCGCTCACATAGTTGTGGTGGATGAGGTGGCCACAGCGCTTGCGCAGATCCTCCACGCCATCGTTGACCATGTCCACCAGCGCCGCTGCCCGTGTGTCACGGCCGTACAACCCTGGTGACGACCAAGCTCTGGGCTCAAGTGCTGTCAGCCGGCCCCCTGCTTCTCCTGTGCCCCCAAACTTGGGCCTCAACAGGGCACCAGGACCCTGGCTGGGCACTGGCTTTAGGGAGACCCCTCCAGCAGGTCAGGGGTCTGCAGGTCAAGGGAATACCCTAGCCTAGGTTGGAGCAAGCCTCTGGATGGTAACTCCCAGGCCTAGAGGCTGCTGTGGGAGCTGGGCAGACCTGAGCAGGCAGACGGGCATGTTGGGGTCGAGGGCAGGACAACGTGTATGGAGAGGAGACCCCAGGTGGAAGCCAGAGATTCTTCACTCAGGAAACTGCAGAGCGGGGTTGCCTCCCTCTGCGCCCTCTTTTTCTGGTTACCACTCTGGGGATTCTGGGCTTTTCTGGAATCTCCAAATTGGCTATAGAAGTGCCAACTGCTGCCCTGCGTGACACTCCTGTCACCTGGGGACCCAACTGGCTTAAGGAAGTAGGAGCAGGAAGGGCAGTCCCCATGAAGCCTTGGCCCCCCACCAGCACCCCAGGGCTGCCTGCACATTACCACCCAGGAAACTGACCCAGCGAACTCACCAGACACTGACAGGCAGAGGCCCGTCCTGTGCCACCACCCGCCTGCCGCCCCCCACACCTGACCAGATGACTGTCTGCACCTCCGCCACCCTGCCCACCGGGCACTCACCAAGGGAGCGGCCCAGGTGGCGCAGGATGGCGTTGGATTGGTACAGGGTGAGGTCTCCGTCCTGGAACTTGGGGAGCTGCCCATAAAGCTGGGGAGACAGGCTGAATGAGGGGCACTGAGCTCAGCTGCTCCTCCCAGAGGAAGCCCCTCAGACCCCGCCCTGTCCCCCCCCCTCTGCGAGGGGCACTCACACAGGACGCCTTGAGCGGGCCCTGCAGCCAAGTCTCCTTGGTGACCACCTCCTCCTTCCAGCTCTGGCCCTGGTCAGCCAGCAGCATGCGCATGGCCTCGCAGCGCCCTGGAGAATACGAGGTGGAGTGGTGATGGGGGTGGGAGTGGGGGTCCCATCGCACAGCGCACGGGGAGGGACCAGACACTCAGCCCTCACTCAGGACAGGAACCAGGGGAATCAGTTCCTTCATATGCTGGGACAAAGGGTCCAGTGGGCTCCCCTAGGTGAGTGAAGTGTCTCTGGGCTGCAGCCCCCAACACTGTCTCCCCTCATAGTCATCTGGGCCAGGGGGGCCCAGCTCTACAGTCGGGGGAGGGGTGGGGGAGGAGAGGGAGGGACAGAGGAACAGAGTCCATCCAGGCTCCTAGCAGGTTCCGGCCCCGCCCCTGCGGAGCCCTGTCCTCTCCCCTCCTCGTCTGGGGGAACCGTGGGTTGCGCACCTCGGACAGGGAAGTAGACGATGGTGTAGGGCGGCACTAGGAGAGAAGACAGACAGCGTGGAGGAGCCTCCCGGGGCTGCACCAACCCCAGGCCCCAGCCCACCAAGCCCGGGCTCTACTCACTGGCAGGAGGTGAAGTTCAAGTGCACAAGGAAGTGGGGAGGAGCGGCCCTTATATTTACCGCTCTGCCACACCCCCACCCGGAGGCGCTGAACCTGGTGTGGACAGAGTGCCAGGGTAAAGGTGGCCTGGGCAGTGGCTTTACAAAAAGCACTCACACCCACCCCACCCCCAAACGCCCAGGCCCCGTGAAACCCTGCCCACTGCACTGGAGGACAGAGAAGTGCTCCCCACAGGTGTTTCTGGGAGGTGAAACTTTGGAGAAGCAGACTGCCACAGCTTCCTCCAGAGCAACCGGTGGGTTCAAAAGCTGCCTTTGAGACAGTAGTTGAATGCCTTAGCCACAGCGCCACCAGTGCTTCTGGCACATTGTGCTGTGCACTGTCGAGTCTGAATGGACTCTTAGTCGACCCTCTGGAAGGTTAATCACCGGGGAAGAGACGTCCATCTTTCTCAGAGCAGCTGGTGGATTCGAACCACATGTCTTTGTCTTGGCAGCACACTTCCTTAACCCCCCTAAGCTCCTCTGGGCACATTACAGGAGCTCATGAAATGCTCGTTGAATGAATGAATGTTGTTGTTGTTGTTGTTATGTGCCATCGAGTCGTTTGCGACTCATAGAGACCCTATGTATAACAGCCCTAAACCCTGCTCTGTCCTGTGCCAATCCCACTGCCTCTGACACACCCATCCTGATTACCCCAGTCACTAAATCAATCCATCTCATAGAGGGTCTTCCCCTCTTGTGCCGCCCCTCCACCCTTCCAAGCATCATGTCCCTCTCCAAGGACCTGTCCCTCCTTGCAACATGCCCAAAGCCCAGACGAAGCCTCAGAATCCTTGCCTCCAAGGAGTAGCTTCGTTTAACCCTCTCCAGGATGAATCTGTTTGTTTTCTTGGCAGTCCATAGTACAGTCAATACTCTTCTCCAGCACCACAGCTCAATGAATACAATATCTATAAACAGACATGTTCATTTATAGTCTTGCCCCATGACAGTAATGTTACAAGCCATGGAGTCTCCTGTGACTCACTGTGATCCTATATACAATAGCTCTGAACCTTGTCCTATCCCCACTAACCATCCTCACTGACTCCAACATACTCCCCCTTTACCTCAGTTACGGTGTCAAATCAATCCATCCCATCCGAGTTCTTCCTCTCCCGCACTGTCCCTCCACCCTTCCAAGAATGATGTCCTTCTCCAAGGTCCCTCCTGCCACATGTCCAAAGTATGTGAGATGGAGCTTCAAATTCCTAGCCTCTAAGGAGAAACTTGGTTTCACCCTTTCCAAGCCCTGTTTATTCTCTTGGCAGTCTACGGTATGTTCAATATTCTCCTCCAGCACCACAACTCAAAAGTATCAATTCTTCTTCTGTCACCTTAGTCATTGTCCAGCTCTCTGATGCACAGCAAGTAATCACAAACACCAAGGCCTGGAACGGATGCACCTTAGTCCCTAGACTGACACCATTGCTCATTAGCACTTTGGAAAGATCCCTGACAGCAGATTTTCATTTCCTGACTGCTGGTATCAAGAGCTGATTGTGGAAAGCAAATACATCATCTGAGATGAGGGAATTGAAGCACAGAGAGGCTCGGTGACTTGCCTAATGTCACACAGCTAGTAAGCAGCAAAGTCAGTATTTAAGCCCAGGTCAGCCTGGTTCCAGGATCTCGCACCCCATGCCTTCCTCTGCAGTGTCTTTACAAACTCTTTCTTTGACTAAACCTTCAAACCAAAAATCAAGCCCACTGCTGCCAAGCCAGTTAGGACAGAGCAGAACTGCCTCATGGGATTTTTAATGCTAAAAGTCACATCTTTCTCCTGTGGAACAGCTGGTGGGTTTGAACTGCCAACCTTTTGGATAGCAGCTCAATGCTTAGTCTACAGTGCCACCAGGGCACTCCATACCCTCCATATCCCATGCCCTCCAAGTGGTGGGATGTGGGTGGCTGGGAAGACAGAGAGACAGGAAGAGGCAGAGCGTCCTAGACCCCAGAGGGCTGTGTCCTCCCAGCCTGAGCCCAGCGCCCTCTTCCCAGCAGCCCTGTCTGGCCCTGCAGCCCATTCTCCTCCTGGAGGCCCGTCTCACAGGAGCTCAGTGTAGCTCCCTGGACACCCAGCTGAGAAAGAGGAACAGGACCACCGTCCATCCCCACTCAACTCAAACTCATCATCATCGAGTGAGCATCCACACTCCAGCGGGCTTTCAGGAGGCTGTGAATATCACAAGATGAGGTTGCCTCTCTTCCATGGACCTGCTCATGTGTTTGAACCAGAGGAGAGGTGCTGCATTCAAGTTTAGCAGCACAATATAGCAAAGATCCCAGAGGTGGAATCTGCAGTGAGCCTGTGCCCTGGCTGGATTATCTATCATCCCTGACTCAACAGCTGAAGGAACAGCTGCCCAGCTGTTAGCAGCTTACAGAGAGCTTTCCTATAAGTGATCTCATCTCCCAGGGAGCAGGGGAGGAGGGCAGGAGGGTGGCACCTCTGTTCCCATTACACAGAGGTGGACATCAAGGGTCAGGGCCCACATTGTTACCCAGAGCTCCACAGCCACTCCCTTTGTTTAGAAGTATCTGGAACTCGAGCCACTGGGAGATCTGCTCCTGTCATCTGGCCAGTCACCTGCCCACCGACTCCCTCTAGCCAGTCTCTGTGGCTTCTGAGCTGGCTGTCCCCCCTGGACTGTGTGGTGGTGCTGGGCTGAGCCTGCCCACTTTTCTTCATCCGTGGTCTTCTGTATACACAGACCCCAGTCAGCTCTGCACCACTCTCCTCTGGGACCCAGATTGATGATGTCTCAGCCCAACAGGTCAAGCGTGTCCCTTTGTCCATCTACAACCTCCAGTCCTCGTAGCCCCTGCACATGCATTTGCTGCTTTATTGAAAGAGAATTCATGGAGCGGAAAGATCGCCCTTGTCAAGTATACAACTCTGTGGGTTTTAGTATATTCACGGGTTATACAACCGTCACCACTAATTCCATGTCATCACCTCAAAAAGAAACCCCAGCCCCTGGCAACTGCTAATCTGCTTTCTGTCTTTTTGGATTTGCCTGTTCTGAACATTTCGGATAAATGGAATTACACAATACCGGGCCTTTTGTGACTGACACAATGGGTTCTGAGGCTTATCCATAGGATAGCGTGTAACACAATTTCAGTTCTCAAAGCTGAATACTGTTGCACTGAGTGGATAGATACACTGCACCTCATTTCTCTGTTTAGTGGGTGGTAGAATGTGGCTCACTTCCACTTCTTGGTGACTATGAGTAATGCTGTTGTGAACATTCACATACAAGCGTCTGTGTCGACCTGTGAGTTCCCAGGTCAGATAATACCCTTAGCTGTTTCCAAAGCAGTTACACCCATTTTACATTCTCAGCAAAAATGTGTAAGGGTCCAAGTTCCTTGCATTTTCACAAGTCATTGTATGATCGTTTTTTTTTTCTTCCGTCTGTGTGTGAAGTTGTATTTCCCTGGGATTAACAGTGCTGAATGTTGAGTTCAGCTTGTAGAAAACAGAGTGAAGAACTCTGATCTTTGCTGTTCAAGGAATCACAGGCCAGAGGTGAGGGACACAGGGCATTGATTAGTGTTCATCAAGCATGACTGGGCCAGACAGCATGCATCGCACTACCACGTCCGAACCAACTCATAGCTGGGCCTTCAGTGGCTCTTTAGAGGCTGCAAAGTACATGAGGAGATTGTCCAGCTTTCTCTCACAGAGCAGTCAGTGGATTCAAACTGCCTACCTTTGAGTTGGTGACACAGCTCCACTAGGCCACCAGAGCTCCCAGACACCATGCTGTTGTTGTTTGCTGTCGAGTTAGTTGTACTGCAATCCCAGAGGTACACGCTTCAAATCCACCAGATGCTCTGCCGGAGAAGGAGGGAAAATTTCCCTCCTGTACCAGTCAGATCTGATTTGACGGTACACGGACAATAAAAATAAAAATTTAAAAAAAAAAAGAAGTGAACTATAGCTAGCCCTCCAGTAGGTTTTCAGAGGGGGGACTTCTGATCTTTCTCCCATAGAGTATCTGGTGGATTCAAACAGCATGCCTTTGGGATTGCAGTGCAGCTTCTTACCACTAGACCATCAAAGCTTCTCAGACACCATGAGAGACATTGAAATGGGTAAGATATAAAAGTCACATTTTTATATCTCTGAATCATGCTGGAAATGTTTTTTTTTTATATTTTAGATTTTATTTGTATTTGACCGGATGTTTCAAAGGATAGTTAGTTAATCTAAATATGTAGTTAAATATGTACATTGCTGCAATAATACTTGTAAGAACTGCATAGTCTTATTTTAAATAAAATAAAAAATTAAATCCCTGTAATAAACTAGAGTTTGCTAAGAGTAGAGGTATTTGGTTACATGCACTCAAAATAGTACAGTGAGTGGAAAAGCAAGCATTGTAAATATGACTACAATCCTTACCAACACACATGGAACCATTTTTTCCCCAATAAAAAAGCTAGTCCAGAAAATGTTTCATGGTATAAAGATTTATCATTTCCAGATCACGGTGAAAGGAACTTGAGTAATTTATCAATTCTATTTTCTACTTATGTCTTAGAAATACCTCACTAAAACTGGTATCTGACACAACAGAATGATGCTTGCAGACTGTCACATTGTAGTGACAGTACGGATATTGATAATTACAGACACATTTGGGTATTAAATGATCACCTCTTAATTAGATATTTATATAGAACATTGGTCCAATAACATGAAAAAGGAGAACAGGAGCTAGAAATGTATTTCACTTAATATTCAGACATAAAATGTAACCATTCTGTTCATTATTCTTTGCAGATAAGTCCTTTTTTCCCCCATGTTGAAATCTGAAGGCAATTAAATCCTGGCATTTTTCCAAGCTACTGTATGAACAGGATGCTGAAGGCCATCACTACACAGCATACAGCAACATAAGGACTCTTCCGTTCACCAATTCTGGCACACTTCCAAAAGATACCCAATAGTCCAGTTTTATTCCTGTCCAGGACGCTGGGTGTCAAGGATCGGATATAAGCACAGGTACATATAAGCAGCAATATTACAGTCAAAAGACTCTGAAAGTTGAAAATGGCAGACATAGTGAGGCCGGCGAAGCCCCAGCCACATCACCCTTCCGGGCTCAGGGCGGAAAAGGCGGGCCTGGAAATGTTTAAGAATTCAATTTCACTTAAGGACTGTTGTTGTTGCTGTTACGTACTGTCTAGTTGCCTGCGACTCATAGACACCCTAAGTACAAAAGCTCTGAAGCCTGGCCTGTCCTGAGCCAGTCTCACTGACTCTGTCACACTTATTCCCATTGCCTAGCTACTCTATCAATCCATCTCATCCAGGGTCTTCCTCTCCTAAGCTGTCCCTACACCCTTCTGAATAGGAGGTCTGTCCTTCTCCAAGGATCGATCCTTCCTGGCTACATACCCAAAGTATGTGAGACAGAGCTTCAAAATCCTTGCCTCCAAGTAGAAATTTGGTTTCACCCTTTTCCAAGACAGACCTGTTTGTCTTTTTTGGAAGTGCATGGTATGGTCAAGATCTTCTCCAGCACCACAGCTCAAAGGCATTGATTCTTCTTCTGTCATCCTTCATCATTGCCCAGCTCTCTGATGCATAGCGAGTAACTGTGAAGACCATGGCCTGAATCAGGCGCACCTTAGTCTCTAGATTGACATTGTTGCTTCTCAGTACCCTCAAAAGGTCCTTGACAGCATACTTACCTAATGAAATTTGTGTTTTGATTTCCTGACTGCTGGTGCCAAGAGTATTGATTGTGGAGTCAGGCAAGTTGTAATTGTTAACAACCTCTTTTCCATCCATCATGGTGCTGCCAATTGGCCTACTGGTGAGAATTTTTGTTTTCTTAATATTGATCTTCAATCCATGCTGAAGACTACAGTCTTTTTTAAAAAAAGGAGGAGGAGGAGGAGAAGAAGGAGGACGAGGATATGGTGTGTACTTTAATGGTGCTCATGTTGTGTTGAGTACCATCAAGTCAGAACTGACCCATAGCTGACCCTCCAGCAGGTTTTCAGAGGCAGTTAATCGCATGGGAGGAGGCTGCCCATCCTTCTCCCATGGTCCTCATAGCTTACTCAATTAACAAAGCTAAGATTTTCACCAGTCGTCCTTCAATCTAGCCACTCATTCCTCCACTCAAGGGTCCATATAAAAGTCAAACATTAAACATCAAACATCTCGGGCCACAAGCCAAGCCACTTATACACCTATCCATCCAACTGTCCATCTATCTACCCAATCATTCATCTGTCTGTCAGTCCATCTATCTTCCTGACCACTCAGTCATTCTTTGATCTATCTGCTCATTCATCCCTTTATCTACCCATCCAACCATCTCTCTGTATAATAATACTTCATCTACCCAATCATTAAGCATTGAATTGTCTGCTTGTTTTTCTACCAAGCATCCTCTTCTTGCAAGTATCAACCTGTCTACTCTTCATTCAATTTCCTATCTACTCACCCAACTAAGCATTTACGTATTCATCCTTTCACCCCTCCACCTGTCTGTCCTTCCATCTGCTCAATCAGGCATCCTTGCAACCATTCAAAACCAGTCAATCAAATGATCCACCCATCCATTAAACCAGCCATCTGTTCACCCACCTACATATTCATCTATCCATCCATCCATCCGTCCATCCATCTGCCCCCTCCCCCCGCCCCAGCACTCACTGCTGACTCACCCGCCTGGGGCACTGGCTTGGAACACCAGCTTGACTTATTCAGGCTGCACCAGTCAAGGGAATTATCTGCATACTCTAGGATGCTGGCCATTGAGCCAAGAGAAATTTCCAAACCAGTTCTTTCTCATCTAGACACAAACCTTTGCTACCTGGATGAAAGCATTCTATCTGATCAATTACAGTCCTGGTGACTTCTTGAGTGGCTGTTTGGACACGGCTCCATCCCTCTTCTATGCATCCCCCACTTGTTGAGACTTTCCTGTGTGCCAGGGATCTGTTATGTCCTCTACCATTTAATCCAATGACACCATGAGGTAGATACTAAGTCAACCTCCATTTTCCAGACGAGGAAACTGAGGCTTAGAGAGGTGAAGCACCTCTAGGATCGCATGGTAAGTTCATGGTGAAACCCAGGTCTACAGTACAGACACTGTCTCTCGGTGAAAAGTGAAGAATTGTTGTTTATGTTATAAGGGTGCTTCTGGGGCACCCTGGTCTCCGGGAGATGTGACCCAGGACATAGAAGTCTGAAGGGTGTGGTCCTGGAGGCCCCGCCTCCACCAGTGAGCCCTCTTCTCCACGGGCCACCTGGCTGATGACAATTTACCTCCCAACACTGGTCTTCCTTCAGCCCCTTAGAGCCAGAGCCACTTTGGGGCTGCTCCTTCGGAAGAGTGTTACCCCTTTCTCTTCACTTCCCAGCTCCCACTCTCTCCTCCGCCCCCCCCACTTCGTCGTGCCCACACACCCCGCCCCACTCCAGCCACAGGGCGCTCTGCTCTCCTTCCTGTAGGTGCACCCGATGCACACATCCATCCATTCCACCTCTGAGTCGGCTGAAGATGCATCTGCCACGAGGTGGGCAACCCGAGAGGCAGGACCTTGGAGGCAAGAGGGTTCTCGGCACCTAGGAAGACCCTCAACCAGATGACCGACACAGCGACTGCTGCAGTGGTCTCAAGTGTGTCAGAGAGGACGAGGCCGGCACAGGACGGGGCAGGGCTCAGATCTGCTGTGTCTGGGGCTCCTGTCAGCTGTACTTGACTCGATGGCACCTCACAACAACAACAACACGACCACAGATGCTCAGCCCACACTGGCTGAAGACTCGGACCCTCTGAAGTTTTCCTCACCTGTATCTCCTCCAACAGGCCCTGGTGGCACCGTGGTTAATCACTTGGCTGTTCTGGAAAGTCAGTGTTTGTACCTCAGTAGGAAGGGCTGACTGCTTCTGTCAAGATCATGGCCTCAAAAGCCCTATAGGGGGTTCTGCTCTGTCACATGGGGTCACTGGTGCCAGAACTGACTCAAGGGCATATGACACCCCCTCAGTGGCTCCCCCTGAGGGCCTCCACCAACATGGCTGTGAGGGAAGCCGAATATCAAATTTAATAATAGTAGACCAAATGCTGTATCGGGAAATGAGGGAGGCTTAATACAAGCTGAAGGTCACCTTGTGACACTAGGGCGTTCCCTAGGAGTCAACATTGTTCTTAGTTTTTATCAAATGAATCCCTCCCTCTTGAGATTAACATAAAGAGGAACTTGGCCTTATCTGTAAAAGATTTCACCATTATCCTTTGTTTTGTACTTCCTTGTTTTTCTATATAAAGACTCAGAGAAGCGTTGGCTCGGGGCCTTCAGTCATGGGAACTGTTGGCCCCCTGTTTTACACTCTCTGTTCTATATCATTCCTGGCTGTTTGTCTCTTTATTATAAATTTATTCTATTCTTTGGGACCCTTGGTCTGCAACATGGCTGCGGGACACATGAGCACTCAGGACACTGGTTCACACTGACCTGAAAGGTCCTCAGAGCTCGCTCACTCAGACCACCCACAGGCTGCCTCACCCCGACTTTCTCTTCCCACCCCCAGGCTTCCTCAAGCGTGGACTGACGGCTCCCAGGCCTTGGTGGCTCCCTGGTGGCCCTTTCCCCAGTTGGCTGTGGCTGAGAGCTGGCCCCTCCAGGCTGGCCCTTGGGGACTTCTCAGAGAAAGTGCCTGAATGGATGGTCGAGTGGCTGAGAGCGGCCAGAGCCACCAGCTCAGGTGGCAGGTGTCTGGCGGGATCTGGTTCCCTGGGACAAAGGCCAGTGTGGGGGGCAGGTGAATAAATCATGAGGGGCTTGGAGTGAGGCGGGAGCAGGACAGCTGACCTCATTCTCAGAGGTGAGGAGCAGGTGGCTGGCGGTGAGTGGGCAGGGCCATGGAGGGGACACAGGGTGAGGGGAGCTGTCTGGCCCACCCCCACCCTTTCTGTCTGAGAAGTAGGAGGCTGGAGGTCAGTGGGACCCTGGTGGGAGTGCAGACAGGAGGGGAAGTGTGACCTACAGAGGTGTCCTGGGACTCTGGAAACACAGAGGGGAAGAGAGGGAGGCCTGTAATCTCAGGGATGGTGGGTAGGGGGCTAGGCAGAGCGAAGATGGACAGACAGCAGTGAGGAAAAGTCTGAGGGCAGCAGAGAGGGCATGAGTGGGTTAGAGGCCCACACAGAGACTGCTGGGCAGAGATCCGAGGGGCAGCTACAGTCAACACACAGGCACCCCTGAACAAGACAGGTACAGGCACGGGAAGACGGACCACAGAGGTCCAGGGATACTGGGGGTGCAGGGGCCACGGGTCTGCAAATACAGAGGTTCACAAGAAGTCTGGAGGGAGGCAGAAACGGAGGGAGGGAGGGAAGAAGCTCCGAAAGGGCGGGGCGCCACAGGGAGCAAGGCCCATATCAGGACTGCAGGGTGGCCATGGGCCTGGGGCGAGGCTTTCGGGGAGGGGATGACCAGGCTGGCAGGGCTGTGTCATGGAAGTAGGGACCAGAAAGGACCTGGACCCTGCATGAGTCCCATGGCCCATGGAGGGGAGACAGGGAAGAGAATAACAGGGGTCACACGATCACACAGACAACTGCCCACTGAGCTCCCTCCCACAGGAGGTAGGAGACCAGACGGGGGGCAGTGCCCCTCCACCAGCAGAAGGTGCCAAGTTCCTGTTCCCATGGCCCTGCCTCAGGGCCCAGCTGGTAGCAGCCTCCCCACCGGGGACCCCAGCCCTTCAGAGGGCATTCCAGGGCCCAGCCGCACCCTGGACAGCCCAGAGATCAACAGACGACACGCTCTTCTCCAAGAGCTAGAGGCCCAGGTGCAGGCGGCTTACGGGCAGGTAAAGGGGGCCCAGGGTGCAGGAGAATAGGTAAAGGGAATGGGTACAAGTGGCTACAGGCAGGTAAAGGCAGAGGGGTGCAGGTGGCCAAGTGAGCGGGGCCCAGGGTGTAGGAAATAGGTAAGGGGGGACAGGTGTAGGTAGCTACAGACAGGTGCCTGTAGGCAGGTAAAGGGGGACAGGTGAGTCACCCTTAATTGCAGGGGACTGAGGGCATAAACCCTATCCCCACAACTTCCCTGGGAGCCTAAAAGAGAGAGGGTCCCAGGGAGGTAAGAAGAGTTGTCTCTCCCTCTGCCCTGCCTCCACTCACAGCACCCACAGTCAGCTCCCCCCAGATTGCCCAGTACAGGGGTCCAGTCAGGCAGGAGTGCCCAGGGTGTCCAGGTGGGGAGAGTCTGGGGCAAAGCCAGCATGTTGGCAGGACCTTCCTGGGCTGGGTGGAGCAGGCCAGACAGTGAGAGGAGGGGTCTGCCATGTCCCCAGCCCCCAGTGTCATCTTCGCTCTGTGGGGACAGACATGTCAGGCCTCCTCCGCACACAGTGGCTGCCTAGCTTTCCTCCTCCCGGGCCCTGGCCCTGCTTCTCAAGATGTTAAACCTCTCCTGATTGAGAGAGATCAGGAGTAAAGGGCGGGGAACGGAGGATGCTGGATAGGGGCAACTGGAAGACCCTCACGGGTGAACGTGAGGAAACTGCGCCTTCTTCCTAGGGGCCGCAGGCCCCAAGTGGCCCCCCTCATCAGCAGAGATGCTCAGAGATTATCCCGGATTAGGGCCCAAGCCCCCCTGCCCAGGGCTTGCCTGCTGCCCACCCGCCCCCAGGTTTCCCCATGAACCCTGGGAAAATCCCGAGTCCTCCCAGCTCAGTGGGAGAGGCCGGCCAGGCGCTGCCCAGGACGCCTGCCTGCCTGGTGCTGGGGTCCATGGGAAATTGTGCCAAGCGCCCCAGGCACCAGGGGCTCAAGGTAGGAGGACGTGGGGGAGGGGGGAGACATCAGGGTCAGGAGACTAGCTGGACCCCAGAAGGAGGTTAACTGGAGGGGCAGGGGTCTTCTGTGAGGGTAGGGCTGGCTGGAGGTGGAATATACAGCCCAGGATGGAGGGGAGTTGCCCACTAGAAGCCTTCAGACTCTGACCCACCTGAGTCTTGGCTCCCAGAGAACACTTGGGTTCCCCTGTCCCCTCAGTCAGTTCACTGGGCTCCCAGCTGCCCAGTCAGCCACCCTGGCCTTCCTACAGCCCTACTCGCTGCAGCTGGTCCTGGCCCGTAGGACAGAGGGCTCTGCTGGCTACTGGCTTCCTCAGTTGCCTTGACCAAGGCTTTTGCCTTTTCTGGACCTTGGTTTGCCAACTGAACAGTCGGGATGGGCCTGTCCAGCTTTGATGCCAGTGTCCATCCATCCCTCTATGTTCTGGGCAGGAGCGACGATGGTGGGGTGGGGCAGCCTCGAGCTCACGGCCAGCTCTGCTGCAGGACCTCGGGCAACAGCCTTGCTCTCTGCCGGGGGGCTCCCATCTCAGCCCCAGCCCCAGCCCCAGTCCCGACGAGCGGGGCCCAGGCTCAGGGATCCAGGGCTACTCGGTGTTCAGCGGCCTGGTGGGGCCCGCCTGCATCTTCCTGCGGCCCAGCATTGCTGCCACGCAGTTCGTATGTATGGCCACCCACAGCCCTGCACTGGCCTATCACCCTTCACAATGACAAGGGCAGAGGACCAAGTGGGCAAAGGCCCACAGCGCCAAGGCTGGTGGTGGATGAGGGTGGAGAAATGGAGAGAGAGGACCCCAGAGACAGAAATTAGATCAAATAGGAGGAGACCTAGGGAGAGAGGCCCAGAGAAGCACCACAAGGGATGCCCAGGGGTGGGGTGTGTGCCAGGGACCCCAGGGACAGAGATTAGGAGGGACGCAGTGACAATGAGCCCAGCAAGGCCGGAGGTTCTGCCCAACCTTCCGGTCAAGAGTGGTGGGGAGCAGGGGAGACCCGGGGGGAGTGGTTGGGCATAGGGCAAGCTTGAATGCCCTGAGACACCAGACCAGTCAGCAGATAGAGGGCAAAGCTGAAGCTGAGAAAGGAGGTGCTGGGGGGGAACCCAAGGAGCAAGAAAGAAGAACCACAAGTGTCTGCAGGGGGGACACCTAACCTCTCCGTGCCCCTCAGGACCGGGAGTTGCGGCCAGAGGAGATTGAAGGTAACGGGCCAGAGAAGGAGCTAGACTTCCCAGAAGGGGTGGGCACAGGGGCATGTGACACAGGACAGGGCCATCAAGGTGGGGGCCAGAGGGTCTTAGCAATGTCTGGGAGGAAGAGGGAGCAGAACGGGGCTGCAGGGACCTCTCCGCAGTGTAAGAAGGTGGAGACAGGACAGAGCAGGCAGGAACGACATAGTCTTCACCTATCAGAACCCCAGCGGCTCATGGGGACCTTTGGTATTTGAGCAACCCAAAGGCCCTGCCCGGTGCCCGCAGCATGCTAGCTCTGAGTCGGGTACAATGATTTGGCTGACAAGTGCAGAGATTAATTGCAAACAGGTGCAAGGAAGAATGGGAATAAAAGGCTGGAAGGGGCAAATTCAGAGAAGCTTCCCGGAGTAGGAACTCTAAGGGCCACAGAAGGTGGACTTGTGCTCTAGAATGTGACCTCCATGAGGCTCCTTAAATATTTGCTGAAAGAACGAATAGAAAAGGAACAACATGTGCCAAGGCCCTGGGGTACTGAAGGGAAGCCGATGCTTAGAAGGAGGGAATGATGGGGTCAGGGAGAGAAGGGCAGGTGGGCAGGCCAGGACCTGCGGGCACATAGGAAGGACAAACCCCACCATGCCCAGCAGAGCTGCAGGCGGCCTTCCAGGAGTTCGACACGGACCGGGACGGCTACATCGGCTACCGGGAGCTGGGCGCCTGCATGCGGACGCTGGGCTACATGCCCACGGAGATGGAGCTCATAGAAATCTCACAGCAAATCAGTAAGTGTCTCCCATCTGCCCTATCTCCCGGGGCAGTTAGGGGACAGGGTATCTGCCAGAGGGGATTCTCGCACCCCAGGTCCTGGTCGTTCTCTCACATCCCTCTCCGGGATGGGTGAGAACCATTATCTCCATCTGACAGATGAGGAAACTGAGGCTCTGGAAGGTTGAATGCTTTGCCTGATAAGAAACAGTAGTTCAAGTCCAAACCTTTCATGAAACACACTAAAAATAAACAAGGTCAAAGTCTCAGGAGAGTGGTGTTCTTGCCACTTACTCAAAGCTACGGTGGTTCTGGTGGCCCGTGGGTTACCATTGAGCTGCTAAGCGAGAGGGCTTTGATTCCAATCTACCAGTCAGTCCCCTCCACAGGCGAAGGATGAGGCGGTGCGTTCTGCAGGTCATTACAGGGGCAGCTCTGCTGGTGGTGACCGGGGAGCCCGGAGCCCCAGTCTGCGTGAAGCCTCCACCACCGCGGAGTCAGTCTGACTTGGTGACCCTCAGAGGGTCTGCAAAGCTGTAAACCTTTAGAATAAGAGACTGCGCATGTTTATCTCAGCTGGTGGATTTGAACCACTGACCTTTCGGTTAGCAGTGCAACACTCCAAGGCTGTGGATCCGAATTTGTTTTTTTAAGCACATCTGAGCTTTGTTTGGGGGGTGACCCCCATGAGGACACAAGAGACCCCACCTGCAGGGTGCAGAGGGAGGTAGGGCCCAGCCAGCGGCACAGGGAGAGGGGCTATGGCCAGGTGAGGCCCACAGGCCTCTGATGACCCGTCCAGGTGGCGGGAAGGTGGACTTTGAGGACTTCGTGGAATTGATGGGCCCCAAGCTGCTGGCGGAAACAGCGGACATGATCGGGGTCCGGGAGCTGCGCGACGCCTTCCGGGAGGTGCTGCTGGGCCTGCGGGGTTAAGGGGCGCAGAGGGTGTGTCTGTGGGGAGACGGGCGTATCTGCAAGGGGGCAGCGTAGAGAGGGAGATGGAGATGTGTGTAAAGGGGTGAGGTGTGTCTGTGGGGGTGAGACTTGTGGGGGAAACTGGGATGTGGGGGGAGGGGCGGGGATGTGGGGGGCTAGCGGGGATGTGTCTACAGGTGGAGGGGTGTGTCTGTGGGGGCGAGTCATGTGGGAGGGTTAGGTGTATGTACAGAGGATGAGGTGTGCGTTTGGGGAGCACATCATGTCTACATGGGTGGGGTGAGGGGGTAGGTGAGTCTTTGAGAGGCGTGCCAGGGGTGGGGGTTCCTCAGTGGTGGGGGCGTGGTTTGCCTGTGGGCGTGTTCTCGGGGCGGGGCATGGCTGTGGGGGCGGGGCTAGGCGGGTGCGTGATGTCCGCCAGCCTTGACCTTGGCCGCTGCAGTTCGACACCAACAGGGACGGCCGCATCAGCGTGGGCGAGCTGCGCGCGGCGCTCAAGGTCCTGCTGGGCGAGCGGCTCAGCCAGCGGGAGGTGGACGAGATCCTCCAGGACATGGACCTCAATGGGGACGGCCTGGTGGACTTCGAAGGTACCGCCCACCCGCCGGGGCCCCATGCCTGCGCCCCTCCCCACGAGCACCCTCGGTCCCACAGGCGCACTTGACCACCGCAGGAATTCGAATGTCAAAATCAAGAGAGTCACACACGAATTTGTTTTCCAGTGCAGCCATGTTTACACTATACTGTGGTCTGAGAAGCAATGATGCTCATGCTAACCGAAAGGTCATGAATTCAAACCCAGGGGGCCGCGGAGGAAAGACGTAGCAGTCTGCTTCCCTAAGATAGCAACTTTGGCCACCCTATGGGGCAGTTCCTCTAAGTCCTCTAAGGTTGCTGTTGACTGAACGCAGTGAGTTCATGGTGTAGACTACTGCGTGCACGTTATTAAAAAGTTGCAAATGTTCTGAAAATCACCAAAAACTATGCATGCATCACTAAGTTGGGAAATGATCACTGGTTGGAAAAGGGGTTCTGACAGACTCGCTCCATGCAGAGTTGCCACAAGCTTCAATTACTAAAGTAAACGGAACTAACAAGACACAGTACCTGTGAGGCATGATAAAACGAGGCACGCCTGTCTTCAGAAGACATTATTACATGATCAAGAACGTTTAGGTACTTGTCGAGTCACACTGCAAAAGGAAATGGGTGGGGGGGGGAAATGAAAAAAAAAAAAAGGAAATGGTGGAGCCACTTCCATCCAAAATGTCACGGTTTTCCTCTGAGCTGCCTGATCCAGACACCAGGCCTTTCACTATGCTGCATCCCCGTAAAAGGAAAACAAGGATCACATTACACTAGGAAGCCAAGAAAAATTAGTACCTAGTGGTATTCCCTGGTCTGTCTCCCTACCTGTGTCTCTCTCTGCATACCAAGGAATCCCACCTGGGAGCCCCCTTAATAAAGCTTCTTTAGCTTAAAAAAACAAACAAACAAAAAACCAAACAGAAATACATTCCCTGTAGATCCCAAGTGGCTCCTGAGCTTCCTAGAGGCCAAAGCAAAGAGTTTCAATCACAAGATTCATTTTCCCCCTAAAACAAAGCCCCCTCTCCCTGGCCCTGAGGCATATTCCCTAACAGACTCAGGGGACTCCCTCAAAGTGCTCCCCTTGATTCCACTCCCTCCCCTACAAGACTATCAGATTGGCCTTGCTTCTAGTGGGACCCAAAGGCCAGAATCAAAACTTTGGCTTTGTTCTCACAGAGTTTGTACGAATGATGTCTCGTTGAGCCTGGACCAAAGCTGGTGGCAGCAGACAGGACCAAAGGACTGACTACATACAGCTAGCTGATGCCTCCACGTGCTCAGGAAGCCCAGAGCCTGTGGCTTGGACACCCGCAATCCAACCCCAGTTTTCCCTGCCTTCACCTCCACCACACCAGCACAGCCCCCTACCTTGTCTCTGTCTCCCTGAAATAAAGTGTCTTCAAACTCAGGCAGCTGACTTTTGCCTCTCACTGTTCACCTCAAAGGCCCAGTATTTGATCCAGGTCCTGAGGATGTCTTCCTGGGCCACCACACATTGCCATCAAGCCATTTCCAACTCAAGTAGCCCACGGGTGCCAGCCCAGAACTGCTCCATAGATGGTCAGTGGCTGACTCATTGCATCTGCTTTGCAAATACACGCTTTTTACAAATCGAAGGTTTGTGGTAACTCAGTGTCAAGCAAGTCTATCAGTGCAGTTTTTCCAACACCACATGTCCACTTCATATCTCTGTGTCATGTTCTCGTAATTCTCACAGGGTTTCAAAGTTCTCATCATGCTGTTGCCCGCTGCAGCAGCAGGAGGCACAGAGCCTAACATGTCAAACTTCTAACCAAGAGGTCAGCAGTTCTAGTCCACCAGCTGCTCCAAGCCATCTCCTCTTGTAAAGATTTCAGCCTCGGAACGCCGATGGAGCCTCGGCATGAGCCAGCCTCTATTTGCCGGCTGTGGATTGGTCTTATTGCACATCTATTAGACTACAATGTCATGTGTTGCATTTTCATGTGCATTGAGAAACCAGAAAACTGCTGCGGCTCCCTTGATGGCTGTATCTGCTAGACTGTGGTGATCTGGGACCAGGCCTGCACATCTCTGAGGTACGGCTGTAGATGGCCAGGCCTTCCTTCAGAGGTGTCTCCCAGCTCAGCAGCTGGGCATGTGAGTGAGCTGCTGGCCACACCCTCTTGGATCCTCCTGGACTCCAGAGTGTGAGAGCACAGACCCCCTTACCCTCCCCTTTGGATCCTGGAGCCAGCCCAGAACAAATGCCCTTGGGCAGAGATGAAACTGGGTCCTCCTGTGTCTCGCAGAGCTCTGGTATGTGCTGGCCTCTGAGTGTCCTGCCCCTTATCTAGTATGCGGCTCTTGCCAAATCAATTATTAAGTTAGAGGGTGGAGAAGGCGCTTTATCACCTTCACTCTGTGTAGCAGCCTCGGGGGTGCACCACTCAGAAGTGCCTTCAAGGCGAGCTCTGGTGGCCTAGAGGCAAGAAGCTGCCTTGCAATCCTAGAAGGACACAATTCGAATCCACCAGATGCTCTGCTGGAGAAGAACAATCTCCTCCTGTCAGATCCAATTTGACAGTACACACAGAGAGAGAAGTACCTTCGAGAAAGAATGTGCTGTACAGAAGGGTGTGCAGGGAGCTGAGGGCCCCAGCTGTCAGTCAACTATGGGACAAGCCCAGGCCTTTCCCAGAAGCACCCAGTCAATGGCTGAGCAAGATGGGAGGACAGTGGGGGGGAGTGGGGGAGTTCCTGCCCAGCCTCCAGGGCACTGTCCTGGCCTTTAGTTTTAGTAATTCAGCTCCAGCATGATGCCCTGCTCAACCTCACCCCCTCATCGTTTCTCTTCCTTCTTTCGTACTTAACTCAATGAGTTTCCTGAGCACTCCGTGGCACGTCTCCACACTCCAGTCCGGCCCCACAGCTGCATAGCCCCATGTTATAACCTTGCAAATGGAGGCACTGAAGGCCTGTATGACATGCTCACAGCTTCACCGCCTTCTCACTGTCTCCTGACAGCACACACTCCCAGATAATACTTCCTAAAATCCCATGTGCAGTCTGTTACTGTCCTGCTCAGAAACTAGCCACACCTGCCCATCGTCCTCCTGTTGAACAGCCCTCCACTGTCCCCCAAGGTCTCTGGAAGGATGACGAAACAGCACGTTACACAAGCTGGATGAAGCAGAGGTGGGATTGAACCCAGGCCTCCGGGACTTGAAAGTCAGGGGACAACCAAAGTGGGCAGGGACAAGCCTCAGACTTGTCCAGCAAGGGGCCAATCTCCATGGCCATTGCCAGTGAGGAGGGGGTCAAGCTCTCATATCTGCTCAAGAAGTCGGGGGGGCCCTGGCACACACATCTGGCCCTCACCATTGCTGCTGCCTGGGACAGGGGAGGAGGCCGGTGTCCAGCCTGGAGCCTGGATACCGAGGTGCCAGGGCTGGCGGCAGCAGCTTCCATACCACTCGACCTCAGAGATCCCAATTAATCCTTAATCCTCAATTAGGTGATTTCTGCCGCCCGTCCAGCGGCCCTAGGGGGTGAAGCTGAGTCCCCCACCCGGCAGCCTCCCCGGGACCACAGCCCACTCTTCCTCCAGGGCTGGTACAGATGGCATCGCTGCCTGGGAAGACATCTGTCTCCTCTTCGGGGGAAGGGTGCAGTGTGGGCTCTGTGCCAGGTGAAGCCCAATCCCAGCTCAGGGTCAGACTCCCCCACCTGCCCCTAACATGGTAAAGGTGGGGGGGAAACAGCAGAATGGCCTTAAGTGACCACACTGTGTGTGTCACCTCCTGCAATGCCCACATCTTCCCCAGAACTAACTACATCCTCCCACCCCAAAAGGACGCTGGCCCAGGGGCATCAGCAGACACCAGCTGAAGCAGAATCAGAGCCAGAAAGAGAGCAGAAAGCAGAGACTGTGACGGGTGCAGCATCCTCTCCTCGCAAAGGGCCCAAGTGGTGTAGTGATTAAGCAATTGGCTACTAACTGGAAGGCCAGCGGTTCAAGTCCACCAGCTGCTCCATATCAGAAAAAGGCAGAAGCCCATTCCCATAAAGATTGTAGCATGGAAGTTCTATGGCCAGTTCCACTCCATCCTACAGAGCCACTGCAAGTCAGAATGTACTAGATAGTTTGTTTGGATTTGGGGCTTTAGATTTGGTTTCTTTTAACAGGATTTTAGGTTTTGCTGGGTTTCTATTTGTTTGGATTTTTGAATTGTTTTGTTTGTTGCTTTCCTTACCTAAAGGGGGCATCTGCCTCCCTACTCCCACTAACTAACGCCAGTCAGAAACAGGCTGGAGCTACATCATCTGTTGATTTTCCAAGCTGTCGTTGTTGGGTGCCATCAAGTTGAGTACAACTCACAGTGACTTTATGAACAAAGTATCTGAACCCGGTTCTATTCTGCTCCATCCTCACACTTCCTGACACACAAGAGCCCCTTGCAGCAGTTATCACATCAATCCATCTGGTGGCGGGTCTTCCCTCCTTTTTGACCCTCCACCCTTCCCAGCTTCATGTCTCTCTCCAAGGAAAAGCCCCTCCTAGCAAAATGCCCAAGGCACACAAGGTGAAGCCCCATCATTTCTTGCCTCCAAAGAGCACCCTGTCTGCACCCTCTCCAAGATATATCTGTTCATTCTCTTGGCTGTCCATGAGGTGCTCAGGGCTCTTCTCCAACACCACAGCTCAAAGGCGTCAATAATTCTTCTGTCGTCCTTATTCACTGTCCAGCTCTCAGATGCATAGCAAATGATCGGAAAGACCACGGCCTGAATCAGACGCACCTTAGATTTTACAAGAGAAGCTGTAAATTCAGATTTTTTTTAAATTAAATCTACCTTCAATTTGGAGAAGTTATGACTCATTGAGTGAAGTGTGCAAACCGTAAGCGGTTAGTTGACTGGACTTTACTCAGACGTGTGGCTATGATGCTGAGTAAGGCTCTAAGGAGCTTCCAGACCAGGAAAGACTAGGAATAAAGGCCTGGCAGTTTAGTCCTAGAAGTGAAAATGTGAAGCACTGAAAACACCATGAGGTGGGTCGGTGCAGAGGCAGCTTTGCTTCTGAACATTTTAAAGAGTCCTTTGCAGCAGTTATGCCCAATGCACTCTATGACTTGATACTCTGCTTATTGCTTCCATAGACATTAAGTGTGGGTTCAAGTCAAATTAAATCCTTGACAATGGTCCTCTTTTCTCCATTTGACATAATTCTGCCTATCAGTCCATTTGTGAAGATCTTTATCGTGTCAAGGTTTAATCCAGGCTGTAGTCTGAGATCTTCACTAGGAAGTGCTTCGAGTCCTCCTTGCTTCCAGCCAGAAACACTGTACTGTCTGTCTGCACGTGGCAAGTTGCTAACGAGTCTTCCTCCTTGCTTGATGCCATGTTCTTCATTTGATGGGAAGGGTTGGGAAGCTCTGAGACATTGCAGTGAGATAGGAGCAAAGAAAAAGACACAATAATCACTTGACATATATTCCTTTAGTTCATGCAACATTATGATCCACTAAGATGATGCTTTGCCTCACATACTTTGGGGATGTGATAGGAGAGGTTATTTCTTGGAGAGGGACATCATGCTTGGGAAGGCGGAGGGACCACAAAGGAGAGGAAGACCTTCAACCAGGTTGGTTGACACAGTGACTGCAGCAATGGGATTGAGAGTGTCAGAGACTGTGGGGACGGTGCAGGAGGGACAAGATTCAGATCTATTACCCAGAGAGTTGCTATGAGTCATACTCAACTCAACAGCACCTAACAACAACAACAATGTGGCTCATAATAAATCACGGTTGACATTAAGAACAGGAATCCAAGATAAATTAATTGTGCTCATTCAAAACCTCTACATAGACCAAGAAACAGTTGTCCACACAGAACGAGGGGACATTGCATGGCTTAAAATCAGGAAAGGTGTGCACCAGGGTTATAACCTTTCTCTATACCTATTCACTCTCTTTTCTAAGCAAATAATTCCAGAAACTGGACTGTATGAAGAAGAATGTAGCATCAAGATGGGAAGAAGTTTCATTGCATGAATAATTTCATTTACAATGATTAGTACAAGACTCTTCCTATAAAAGGAGCTCTGGTGGCCTCGTGGCAAACAAGTTGCGCTGCACACAGCTCAAATCCGCCAGCTGCTCCACAAAAGAAAGACAGGCAGTTTCATCCTGTGTCGTTTACAGCCTCTGAAAATCTGGGGGATCAGTTATGAGTTGGC